TAAATAACGCGAAAATTTTGAAATCACTTGCCTCAGGTGATGCCTGATGAGCCGTTTGAGAGTTTTCCCAATTATCTGTAAGTTTCACCCCATTACAAGTCCAGCGGTTGGGGTGTCTCAGTGTCCTATTGTGTGTCAGTGTCCTATTGTGTCCTATTGTGGTGTCTCAGTGTCCTATTCAATTTAAAATTACTTACAATGGCCACGTTTCAATACAAGAAAAGGTTCGAGGTGGGGACATTAATGTAATAAATGTGCAGATGTTTCAGCACTTTACCGGAATCATGGTCAATCTCTCAATTTTCTGCCTGCTTTGTAACTTTTTAATAGAACACCACGTAAATCGACGTGATACCCCTAAATCTAATCATAGATAAGATTATTTGATTGGCATGTGCCTGTAACGTTTCATACAGATAATTTTCTTAAATTCAGGTTACCGGCATATTCATTTGTTGAGTAACAAAGGTGTATCTCTGGGCTACGCTACTATCTTCGTACACATTGAGATCAACGGCCCAGAATCCAACAGCAATTCGTCTTCACACATGGTAAGGTATTCTTATTGTTCTTTGTAACAGCAGTTTTGATTTGCGTGTCAAAATTAATTCCGCTTTGCTTTGGTTTCGCTCTACTTTACAATGATTGGTCAGAAAAAATATCGCACGCTTTTTCCGTATGATATCCATACATTATCTACTAAACAAGTCATAGGAATAATCAAACTTATCAGGTAGAAGTTGTTATCCTGATCTAACACTAAATTCTCATAACTAATTTACAAGGAAATATGTAGCAGGTCGAGGGGAGAATTAACAATGAGATCTTGGGAGTGGAAGGGTTAAATACTTCAACTTCCCCGGAAACGCCCTTGTCATAAGACCTCGATTTCATTTGAAATTATTACAACTTGCCAAGGGAGAAGTGTGCGGTTGGTTGTAATAATATTCCTGTGATATGCAGAAGAGTAAAGCCTTTTTCCTCATCAATCTTCACGTACGTATTCTCCATTGACACAAAGGATTTTATGAGGAAACATAATAGAAACGCCGTGAAACAGCCCTAGAGAAGAATACTTCTGAAAGGACGCAAACAGCAGTTTGTTGGTTTAAAACCGAGTGTGGCTAATCGAAGAATTTAGAGATCTCTTCGCTATCTACCTTCCCTCGTTTCGTGAACGCACTGAATTACTGGTAACGAGCATGAAGTACTAAGGTCTCTTTGCTCTCTATTCTTTCCACCATTGTACGAATAAGAGTGACCCTGGAAAAAAGATAGCCTGCAGTGCCAGCATATTTTGGGCGCACGAGTGCACATTTTCGTATTAGGCCGCTATCTTAGATTTGGTAACTGTGGAGGATTGGGGCGAGGAAATATTTGCCGAGGGAGTAGGTGTTAAGTGGAAAAATGGGCAACGGGGAGAGGGAGGGAAAGGAAAAATACGCCTGCCCGCAAAGCCTGTGATTTCGCAAAACGCCCCCTAATTAGCAGCCCTTGACCGCCTTTCCGGAAATGCGCAAGCAGCCAATGAACATCGATTTTTGCTTTTACCGGATGGAAGCCAAAAATGTACTTCCGACAAAAACATTGACACACGTGTATTTGTCAACTTCGTGCGAAACAGAATCGATCGAGCAAGCGAGTATGTAAGTGAAGTTATGTCGGAAAGACGTCCTAACGACAGCTGTAGGATTTGCCAAAGCTCTTTTAAAGTGAAATTTGGAAATATGCCCGGAAAACAAGTGTACTTGTCCTCGGAAAACCCTTTTAGACCATCGCAGAGGAAGGACAGCCTCGGAGTTGTTTTAGCAGAGGTTTGTAGTCGTGTCGGATTAGTATTGTTGCACGATCCTGCAACATATTCTGATCGCGTTTGCAACCCGTGTGGTCGAAAAATTCGTAGTCTTGGCCAGTTGTTCGAGTTTGTCAAAGTGGGCACGACTCCAACGGTAAACTCCGTTTCTAAAAGCACGCATTTTTTCCTTCCTGTCCCTTTTCCCCCGTTGCCCATTTTTCCACTTAACACCAACTCCCTCGGCAAATATTTCCTCGCCCCAATCCTCCACAGTTACTAAATCTAAGATGGCGGCCTAATACGAAAATGTGCACTCGTGCGCCCAAAGTACGCCTGCACTGCAGGCTAGGAAAAAAGGTTGAAACCTCAGGAATAAGATAGAGATTCTCGTTCTCCCCTTTGCACTGTTCGTTTTTGTCGTGCTTCGTTTCTTTTCTTCCATTAGAGAGACTAATGGATACCAGCTATTCCAACTTTTCTCCCACCATCTTCCCGATGCATAGCTCTCGTTCTCCGCATTTTTGTTGCTACCCTTTTGATGGTCATGTAGTGCTCTTTCCTGTTATTTTAAAGCTGGTGTTGCGTGATGTGAATTTGTCAAGTTCACGTCAGTATATGACTTTTCAAGCTCGTGATTCACAACCTGTTTGAATTTTCACCATCCCTGGTCCCTGTTCTCTGTTGGCTTGATAGTGGCTCGTTTTTTTCATTACTATAGCTCATGAACTGAAAGTAATTTGCACGTCACAAAACAACTCAATACCGCTTAGTGACAGACAGACAGTGGAGAGTTAGTCGAACATCTTAATAATTCAAACTCTCTGTATAATATTTCAGGAGACGGCTTCACCGACGATTTCTAAGTTCTAGATGATGGTCATTCATTTCGCGATTTCTCCATCTTCTCCGCTGACTCGTCCCCAGTCTTCTATCTACCTTTAGACATTGCCGAGATGTGCGCGCAGGAAAGATGGTAGTGCTAGTCTCCCGCGAAAAAAACCCAGGCGACTAGGGGCAAATTAGCCTTTCCTGCTTTCTGCTTCCGGGATCTTTGGTCAACTTAGATTAATAGGGTGGCAAGTTGTTAACGTTTATCATATGAGCGGATCACTTTTCAGTAGACTGTCGCGAAACCAGAACCATAATATTTACAAGCGCCAATCAGGGCTTTTTTAAGGAACCAATGAGAGCTTATAATAAAAAAAAGAGGTCTGCGAACGGTCTGAAGCGCGGGAAAACGCGACTGGCTAAGTCACTTCTGATTGGTTTAGAAAGTGGCGCGAAATGTGCTATGCCTTCCCGGCGTACTCTTGACACTTGGTTGAAAACTGTCCGAGAAACGTCTTATTTGTTTGGTTAGTAGTTTTGTTAAAAAAAAAAAAAAAAGAGTACATGTTAAATTAATGGGATGTAAGAGCAATAGGAATGCTTCTTTTAGTCAGGAGTCACATATTACCGGTGGTAATGCCCATCTGAAAAAAATAGGAGATAAATTCTTATCAGGGAATTGAATTTCAAAATAAATTTTTAATTCGTTCAAATGATATTAAGTGATTAATTTAATTGTAATTTAAGTACGACCAAAAGAAGTTATTTCGCAATAGTATATTTAAGGTAAACTTAAAGAAATGTTTCTTATAATATAGCTATGATATTTAAGCTAGCACTTTCATTTAGAAATCTCATCCCTTTGGGTTTTGATATAAGGGTGTTATTTCTGAATTGTTTTGAAGGGGAAAGAATCTGAAATGCGTTATGATTCGTTGTTGGTCGGAACCGTATTTTTATCGGGAAATAGAAGCCTTAGAAGGAGCAAAGGAGATTATTCAGTTAAGGGCGTGTGTTTGTTTGTGTTGGAATGTGACGGGGGGGGAGGGTGGGTGGCAACCTCGTTCCCAGGGCTTTTCCCGTTTTGAATATTTTGGCGGGCGGACATTTTTCCCACCCGCCAAAATATTAAAAAAGGAAAAGCCCTGGGAACGAGGTTGAGTGGGTGGGTGCTACAGTAACGTTTGACTTACATTTGAAGGCTTACTAGTGTAGAGAATGATAATCAATTTTTCTTAAGAAGGCACTTGAGGGAGTTCTTCAACGGCGACTTGTGGGCATTTAGGGAGCATTCAAGGTTGTTTTAATGTAGTTGGTTTTTCTCTTTTTTAAAGGGCGGCATATACCCTATAGGAATTTCCCCTCCCCCCTGCAGTTGTCAATTAGTCTTGTATCCAAACTTTTCACGGTCAAGCAGTCGTAAGCTCAGTCATGGTTACTCGGTTGAATCTGGGTACGAGTTAGCTCTTAAGTACCAGTTATCCTAGTGTATCGTTAATGTAGAGTCTTGTTTTAAGATAACAGCAATGTTTTGCTTGCTCTGACGTGAACACAAAAATATTATAAATTGTTATCGATGATCACTTATCTCTTATTTATGTGGGAATTATCATTTTCCTCTGGTATCATAAGTTATTTACTCCTTGCTGGGCGCAAGAAAATGCGCTCCCCTGTTTCTATGGGATAGCTATTTAAAGCACATTTTTTAATCCCCGTGTGAAAGTTCAATTTTATCAGCTATCACTGTAGATATTAAGCTATTGACGTTTGGATTTAATTTGGTGAAAATAAAGTTTCTTCAATTAATTGTGCTACCTCTTTGTTTACCTTTCCTTCTATTACCTCTATTTATTAATAGAAAATATTAGAGAAAGGCGTTGGTAAAGAGAAAAATCTTCACTTCAAGAAACAAGGGCACTTAAAGGCCAAAACGGGCAAAAATGTGAGGTCCGTACTCCTTTTTTGACACGTCCGTACCCGACTTTTCTGCCGTGTAAACGGCCTTTTAGTCACATATAGGGCCGACAAAAGCTCCTTGTGCATGAAAAAAGGGGTGTTGAATTTTGCCTGATTTTGGACATGCTAACATTGATGTTTGTACACAGAGTGTGAGCGTGAAATAAAGGAGGAAATCACAAAAAAGGATGTGAAATTGTTAACCACTTCCGGGGGCATACCAACCACTATAAGCACTTTCTATTTTCCAAGTGTCTTTCCGGACAGGAATCTAAACTAAATTCGAGATTCAAAAATGGAAAAATCCAAATCTATTTTCAGGATTATTGAGTACCCTTAGATCCTATCTTATGACGCTCTACGGAAGTTCTACGGAAGGAAACCACACCCAATATTACTCCCTGTCGCTTGGCTGTAGAGTGTCACTCAAAAGGATTTTATCGTATGGGTTGTCCGAGAGGAAAAGGGCGCTGCTCTGAATGACTCAATACTTAACCATTAGGAACGTAAGCATTTAAGTTCCACCCAGAACCGTGTTAGTCAGTTTGTGTCGCTTGGGCAAACGATAAGTCGTGTTTATCGTTTGAGCGTTCTGCCCATCATATCTTAAAGTTAGTTTGGTTAAAATTTTACAAGTAAGACTGTTATGTTAGTGCCTATGTTCCTTTTCTTTGTGCTTGTCTAAACATCTAACCTCAGTTGTTCGAAGGTTAGATAACGCATCTACTGCACGGATAAATCTCTATCTGATGGATAGCTTAGTATGTTTTGCGGATCGCGAAGTACGTTTTCTTTTTTTTTTAAATAAGCTCTTCAAGTTAATATGAAACATCAGTTTACAATATCTGGAGAAAATTGAAACTCGTAGCATTTGTGTGTGCTTTGACTTCGAGCTGTACAACTCGTTTTCGCTGCTCCGTCGCCATTATTTTCCTCGAGCGTTAAAAAAAAAACGCCAACAGCGTTAAAACGCAAACTACCAAACCTCTATTAACCTTTTCGTAATCAATAATAACTCTATGACTGCGTATTTTGATTTTGGTACGGGCGTTCGAAGAAATTGCTGGTACGGTTTTACTTTCCTTGTTTCCTGTTTCAGCAATTTTCAAGTCCATTCCAAGATTTTAATTTTTGCAAGTAAATCGCTGACACAGCGCGGGCTCGGTAAAGTGTAAAGTTCAACTTTCTCCGTTTCGTTAATTGTGTGACCTGCTATATTTTTTTTGGACAACTGCAACACCTCCCGATGGCTGTTACGGGATTTTCTTTTGTTGCAAGAAGAATCGCTCCTCAAATTTTCCGTTCTTTTAGTCCCAAAATCAATCTGCAGCAGGCCAGAAGGACGGTGCCTCTACACCAACTCTGTCGAAGTAGCTTCGTGTTGCAGCACCGATTAAGGTAAGATCCGCTTTCTTCTTGTAATTCAAATAGCGAATTAATATTTCCTCGGGTTTAGATTGGTCATCAAGGCAGTGATAGGTTTCTCAAGTATCCACGCATTTGAGTTTTTTTCCCCTTTTTTTCTCCGACTGCAGACATCGAACTTATTCTATTTCCGTAAGTGGGTATTATATACGATTTAAGTGTCAAAATTGAATGTTTATTTACTCGAAGAACTCGTAGCTTTTTGTATCCAATCGATTGATATCGTTAGCTTTTTGTTTAGCCAGAGTTGCTCTGAAATGAACAATTTGGAATACATTACCTAGCTGGAACTCGATTGCTAGATCTGCTAAGTCCCTAGTTCGGCCCGATGGCGTCGTATGCTATTATGTAACGTGCGTGAGTTTTTTACCAGTACTATTGTTTTAATGTTTACGAAATTTGTGGAGTGAGGAGATACGATTTACGAGCGAATTACTGTTTTTGGAGTCCAGCGAATCCGCCCATGTGGGTTCTGTATCTGTGAGTTGTAGTAGTTGTCAGAATAACTTACGTCAGTGCTAATTTAGGATGTGTGAATTTAGGCAATGTTACTTCCTCAAGGATTCAAATGAAAATGTTTTAGATCTAGCGAATCCGCCCGTCTCGGTTGCGGTGTGTTTGAGTTGCACTAGTTGTCAAACTAATGTACGTCAACTGGTGCTAACTTAAGATATGTGAATTTAGGCATTGTATTTCCTGTTTTTATTTTGAGCTTTTTAGTAGAGCAGTATCAATACCTGAAAGTTATTTAAAAACTCACAGCATGAGTTTTCACATTTTAATTTATTCTGTTAGTTTACTTTTGCAAGTTGGGTAAGGTGGGGGGGGGGATGGGAGATACAGAAGAGCTGTGCCATCTTTTATAAGGGACTGGCAATTATTTATCACCTAGCAGGTGTTTGGATAATGTTGGTTGTGTCACAATGAAATTTACCTGATCCCCTCCATAAGGTTCTGTAGGATTCTAACAATCCCCGGTCATTGGAATTCACTTTTCTTTAGTTCCCTTCTAGACTCTGTTAGAGATGATTGATCCCCTCTCCATCTCCCCTGAAGACAGGTGTTCCCTCCAAATTTCCTTAATCCCTCACCCTCAGGCAATAAATAAAGACTAGTCTCTTTGCAAATTTTATTTTTGCACTTTGAGATGAAGCAGGATGTCTATTTATAAATAGATATCCTGCTTTAACCTCAAAGTGCTAATTAGCCCTGCTTTTTTACTCTCAAATGTTTCCTTGTTGTGGATTATGCAGACATGGTTGCTTGTGTTTTCATTAATTTGATCAAGCTTAGTTTAGTTCTTTCCCCATACTATCAGTGCTCTCCTTTTAAGTGGTCATTAGTAAAAATTTTCTACCTGTAAATGCCTCCTTTAACAGCCTACAACCGCTTGAAATTCTTGAAAACTCAACAGGTAGAAGGACTGCTGAACTGGTTCCTTTCACCTGTTGTGCTTAAAATAAAGAAAAAAACTTTAACACTGTTATTTCTTTTTTGGTAACCACATCCATCTTCACAAAGTCAAAAATAAACTCTCGAGTTTATCCCCTATTACAATCTCTTGTGGATGTGAGTTCTTACCTGTGACTTGATCATAGACAACATTTGTAATTCAAAATCCTCAATGTTCAATTTGAACTGGAAATTCTGAATACAATATCAGACACACCCCTTTTTAGTAATTATCTGGTATATTTTCAACACAGATTAAGTTCATGATTTACCATAGTAATTGCTTTTTAAGGAGAACAATGTATGTTTTCATATGGAAATTTTTCATTACTTAAAAAGTGGATGTACATGAGAAAGGTTGCTATATTTTTCAATTATTTGAGAAGACATCCACTAGCTTTTTCTCTCCAAGTGAAATTACTCTCAGATAAATAACTGATACGCATAACTTTTCGTAATCGACCAGTATTCATGAAGGTAATCCCCCCAGGAAATGCGTAGCGTATAGTCTCGATTTCATGCTATGGTCGAGAGAGCTAAGTACTAGTTTAGTAAAATAAAGATATCTTTCACGTGGGTTCCTTGTTAGTTCGATTGTGGAATTACGCCCTGCCACGAGAGAACCGTTTCATCAAAGTATGTCAACAAATAACACCTGATAAAATTAACCTCTTAATTTTCTAATTCTGTTTTTTTTTCGTCTATTTTACAGCTCTACGATGAGTAAAGCCTTCATTCAAAAACCGGCGCCGCCATTTTCTGGGACCGCTGTCAACAAACATGGAGAGTTTGTAGATGTAAAGCTTTCAGACTACAAAGGTATTAGAGCAGCTTTTTTTATCGAAAAAATTGTTTTTATTATTTTTTATGTCGCTGACCGAGTTCCTATTAATCCGCAGGGAGATATGTGGTGCTGTTTTTCTACCCACTGAATTTGTAAGTAGACCGAAAACTGAACTGACTGCCAAGTGTAGAATTTACAGATGAACGGATTTCGTAAGCTATATAGGTTGATCGAAACTTGAACCCCTCTTGCCTGAATAATTAGGTCGCCAGTTATCACGAAGTGAATAAATAAATCAGTTGCAACGCTCCAGTGAAACGGAAAATGCGTTTAAAGAAGCGATTGTAAGCTTAACGTTCATTCCCAATGGTGTTTTTACATTTGTACATGCTAGTGTCATACTTTTCGCGACTTAGTGGGTTACGTAATTCACATAGCGTTTAAGTTACTGTTTGCTTTTCTTCTCTTACTTGCTACGAACTTTAAGATACGATAAAATCCGTGATCTATTCGCAACTAATTTTTTTCGGTGTGACGGCAGAAAGTTTAATTAAGAGAATGGAATTGAGGCCAAGGTTTATACAGCTGACTTCGATTCGTGATTCGATCTCTATGTATTCGTGTCTTTAATTAATTTCAAGGACCTGATGTCCTTGCACTGCGATAAGATCAATGGCCGTACTCATGTGACAACGTCTTTGATCGATATCACTGTGTCATGTCTTGTTGAATATTAAAATTCGTTAGGACAACAGATAATGTTCTTAAAAGAAAAGAAGTTGTGTGTTATAAATTAATATTTATCTTAAATATTGGTTGCAGACTGTTTTTGTCAGATCTCAAATCAGTGAGTCGAAGCAATTCCCTTCTGTTAAAATTGAACCTATTTTTGGTAAAATACGAAGTTTATATCGAACAGTTCAATTCTCATTCTTGCTTTTTCCTGTTTGAATGTACAACAGCCTATTCCCACTGTGTAGCTCTAATGACAAGTGGAGACACAAAGGAGAAGTTTTAGAACACAAAATTAGATCAGGCTTCTATAAAGAGGCTATCCGCCCATTTTTGGGGACTAATAATAAAGATAAGGAAAAATTAATTTTAAAAAAGACAGCTGACAGATGCAATTTTTTTTTTTTTTTTTTGTAATTTACATATTAATAAAATTTTTCCATGAAACTTTCTTTTCCTGAGCAAAGATTAGTTGGAACTGTTTATTTTTTCATTCAAACACATCAAGGGAGATATAACACGTATGTCAAATGTTTGCCATCGAAAGGTTACTGTTTTTGGATGTTGTTGATTATTACAGATGTTCATGTATACCAAAGCACATTGAAAGCTGTTAGCATGGCCTTCAGTGAAAAACTGTTTTTTTTTTTTTTTTTTACCTCACATAATTTTGCCATCATGTTTTACTAAATGCTTTATATTTTATCAAAGAAATGTCTTAATATGTTTGGATAAAAAATCATTATCATGATAGTGTTCTCTGTGTATTCTGTTTTCTTTCTAAATTTGTCTTTCTTTTGTTGAGTTTTTAAATGAGATTTTTCAGCCTTTAATGGTTATTCCTTCTCCTTAATGGTTTTACAGATGCCATTTCATTTCCATTATATGCATAGTTGAACGTTTTAGTGTGGTTTTTCATTTTACAAGCAAGTGATACATAATTTTTTTGTTATTCACTGGCTGGGAGATCTGTGTTGGGAAAAACTGTCCTCTAGCACTTAGATACCAACTGAGGCCCACAGCCTCAGGGACTACTCAAAACAGAGGGCAAAGTTTTTCCCCAAAACAGACCAACCTTGGCTGGTGAGTAACATTTTTATTTTTACCTAAAACTTTATGAAATGCTTGCAAAAAGAACCCAGTTGATAAAGGGCTGTAATTACAGCTAGATCCACCTTAAACACGAAGGCATGCTATATAAGGAAGTCTTCCCTGGGAAGACCTAGGCTCATTTGTCACTCACCGTTGACGTTTGTGGGTCAAATTCAAATGCTGGTAGACGAACAAAAGGAGCTAATGAGATATCTATTGTTTACTTCCACCAGCATGAGGTAATGTGCGAACCACCTACTTCAATCTCAAATTTACCGCCGCAAATAAAGAGAGTTTCCATTGGAGAAAGGAAATACAAATCTCAAAAATTCTTGTATTGTGATGAAGACCTAAAACAATTTTGAGGAATGCGCCCTCTGTTCACTGCTTTGGAGTAGCTGTAGCTCAAGCTGACTTGACTCTAAGAGTTCTACATCACACGACGGTTGATTGACAAATGGTCCAGTGGGACATAAGGCTCCTTTTATAGCATGCCTTTGTGTTTAAACTCGACAATTTTTTTGTAGAAAGTAGTGTAGAAAACAGAGTCAATGTAGTTTTAAGAGAGGGACTTAAAACATTTTTATTTATAACACAAAAAAAATCAAACCAGTTTCCCACTGTGGGATTGAGAATAACATTTTCTTAATGCTATGAACACAGAACAGTTTCTCCTCAATTTAACTTCAAAAACTATAATTATAATCTGTTCTTTAATCACTTGAGACATTTTACTGTCATGTTACTATTAGTAGTCGACCAATTTGCATTAAGAGTATCAGAGGCTTGTTAATTCTGGTTTGCAACTGTTTACTTTAAATTTGTTTTTCTCCACAAGACTTGAATATTTGAATGAATAAAGGCTGATAGTTTCTAAAGAAACTGTTAGGGGCTGCGTCGGTGGGGTTAACGAAATAATTTGGATATATCAACAAAGTTGAAATGGTAAATTGGCCACCGTAGCCCTTTGTTGGAGCGAAGGGCTAACGCTCGAACAAAGGGCTAATGCTCGAAACGTCAGCTTTTGTAATCGTTACGGTGGCCAATTTACCATTTCAACTTTGTTGATATGTCCAAATTATTGAATATTTTAAGATTGTCTGGGATTTGAAGCACCTCCAAAATGCTTGTGAAAATTACAAAAACTCGTTAAAACAATGCGTGCTTGCTCTTTCGATAATCAGCATTGAATCTGGTAAACTTTCTTAAGGGTTTGGAAATTCCAAAAGCTAACTCGCCCTCTGGGATTGGATTAAAAACACAGCTTTTGAAGCTCTTTTTGTCCCCAGATTTTTTTCTTGACTTGTATAGAACCTTTGTACTCCTCTTAATACTTTCACTCACTTAAAGTGACCAAGACAGAATTTCTCCTTACAATGTTCACATAATATCTAGCAGACAAGTGATGAGAAGAAAGAGAAATATCAATTAGAGAATTTATTAGTCGATCCAGCATCAAATTCTCCAAACTAGCAAAATAGGAATTGTGTGGACAATTACTACAGGAAATGAGATCTTAGGAGTGAAACAGTTTATTCAGTTTGCTAAAAATTTTAGAGCTGCCTATGAGGTGTTAATGACAATGATTCTAAATATTGGTTTTTGAAATGTTAGGAAAAATGAATATTTCTCAAAGTGGGCATTTGGAGACCAAAATTCACAAATACTACTAGAGATAATACTTTATAAGCTTTAAAAAAAAAGAAGAAAAAAGTGAAAATTTCGTTTGCATGGTTTAGACTGAAATAGACAAAGTTCATAGTATATTCCTGCATCTTACATTTTTTCCTCTAACCCTCTAACTTCCAAGATCTGATTGTTAATTCTCTCCTCTAGCTGCTGCACATTTCCTCTTAAGTAAGTTAGGAGAATTTGGTGATACATTAAGATAAACAATTTTTACCTGACAAGTTTGACTATCTCATTACCTGCTTGCTGGATAATGTGGGGATGTTAAAGGGAGAAGTTACATGTTAATCACTTATGGGGGTTGAAAGATCAACATAAGGTAAAGATACTTTGACTTTAATTTTGCTGTAGACAAAATTAATGTGGGAGTTTTTTTCCTTTTTTTCTTTTTCCAGCACATTTGTTTGTCCTACAGAGATTATTGCTTTTAGTGACCGAGTCCAGGAGTTTGAAGCTATCAACTGTTCAGTGATTGCTTGCTCTGTGGATTCACATTTTTCACATTTAGCCTGGTAAGAATGTAACTATTATACAGGGAATTGACTGTTTACACTGTTACTTCAGCATCCACATTCTCTATACTCTTCTTTATACATTTCCTTTGGCACTGACAAGGGCCTCTACTGGCAAATGCAAAAGATTTAATGATTTTATAACTGTCAAATTTCAAAATGTATGTCGTGAAAATGTATGAGGGGTGATTACCGCCAAAATTAAGTTTGGAATTTTATTATGCTGTTTGTCGATGCTGTTCGTCAAAACCTCGATGCTATTATTCGTGTCCGTATGCTGTTATGCGAAACCTCGATGCTATTATTTGTGTCCGTATGCTGTTATGCGAAACCTTGATGCTATTATTCGTGTTCGTATGCTGTTCATCGAAACCTCGATGCTATTATTTGTCTGTATGCTGTTATGCGAAACCTCGATGCTATTATTCGTGTCTGAATGCGGTTCGTCAAAACCTTGATGCTATTATTTGTGTCTGTGTGCTGTTATGCGAAACCTTGATGCTATTATTTGTGTCCATATGCTGTTCGTCAAAACTTCGATGCTATTATTCATGTCTGTATGCTGTTATGGAAAACCTCGATGCTATTGTTCGTGTTTCGAATTATGTTTGTCTTAATCCGGGTCTTCAAAGAGCTCAACCGCTGTGGTCTGGCGTGAGTGATAAATTAAGAGCCACTGACCATAAATATCGAGAATCCGCCAACATTTGCAAAATTTACTAATATTTGTTTTATTTTTTCTAAAGGACCCTTTTAATGAACCTTTTCTGAAAATTTTATCAAAAAGTTCTAGATCATGTTTTTTTTCGTCAGAAAAATTGAAAAGTTCGAAATATGCCTAAATGACTGTTGTCCCCCACTTACAGTAATACGGACACGAATAATAGCATCGAGGTTTCGCATAACAGCATACGGCCACGAATAATAGCATCGAGGTTTCGCATAACAGCATACGGACACGAATAATAGCATCGAGGTTTTGACGAACAGCATCGGCAAACAGCATAATAATATTCCAAACTTAATTTTGGTAGTTGTTACGGCAATAATGGTTGAATAAACGATTGATTGATTGATTTGTTTAACAATCAAAGCTACTTAGGTCCGTGATCGTTTCCTTTATCCTCACGATGTTAATGAATGAGATTTTAGTATTTTACTGTAATGAAAAATAAGATGCTGGTCACTATCAGAGTTTAACAGAATTGAGTGGATCCAGAGAAGATGGACACAGATTGTAAAGAGTGGTGACAAATATTTGGCAAGGAGGCTGTTAGTCACTTAAAGTTGTTTTAAGAGGGTCTGTACAGAAAGAAAAAAGTTAAAAAAATGGAATGAAGCACTCAATTGAAGTATTTTCACTATCTGTGCTCTAGTGGTCCCTTGGGAGGAGTTCCAGGCTTTCAGAAAAGCAAGCCAGTGACTTCTCATATTTCAGGAGATTTTCAACGGCTTGTCCTTGGTATTAACTTACAAATGGAGTACAGAGAATCAACGTTCTTATAGGCAAATGACTTAAGAAATGTTAGCTGTCTGTGTCAGTCCTCTGTTAACAGTAATTGAGATTACTGACATTAGACTTGTAACTTTATCAAACACAATCTTGCATTAATTTTTTTTTTTTTTTTTTTCAAGGACAAATCAACCTCGCAAGAAGGGAGGACTTGGAACTATGCAGATCCCTCTCCTTTCTGATATCACAAAGCAGATTTCAAAAGACTATGGCGTCTTGCTGGAAGATCAAGGAGTAGCTCTGAGGTAACTAAATATTGATTTTTTTTTTTCAAGGGACCAGTCATAATTGATTGTGGGGAAGGAGGGGGCCAAGAGGATTTTAGGGGGGATCACATGGTTTCCAGGGGGAACAGAGGGAGAATCAGTAGTTACCAACAGAATATAAGGGGAGGGACTATAGAAAATTGACTGCCAATGAGGGGGGGGGTCATAATAATATTACAGAGTTTTATTGGCCACTTTTATTTTTATCAATGTTAATATCGTCTTCATTGTTACCATTAAAGATTTAACAATTGGGTTATTTAGTGTTCAGGCAAGCAATTTGTCAATGTCATTATTTCTCAGTCTATTACCCAAAGATTAATTTTTCAGTGAGAGAACTACAAATTTGTCTTAACCCTTTCAGTCCAAAGGTGTTCCTAGTAATTCTCTTTACTGTCTTACATACAATTCTTATGATGTTAGTTTGGAGAATTTGGAAGTGGATCAATGGATAATCTCCAAATTGATATTTGTCTTTATTCTCATCACTTGTCTGCTACACTTTGTATTGATATTGTATGGAGAAATTTTGTCTTGGTCACTCATGGCAGTTAGAGGGTTAGGGCTATGCCTTCATTTGTTTCTATGTTCCAGGGGTTTGTTTATCATTGATGACAAAGGGATCTTGAGGCAGATCACAGTAAATGACTTACCTGTGGGAAGGTCAGTTGATGAAGTCTTGCGACTGGTTCAAGCGTTCCAGTTTACTGATAAACATGGAGAAGGTAAGCAAGACATTACCTTTTGAGCACCTTTTTTACTTACTTTATTACATAGAATCTACAGGATCTGTTGTGGTAGTTAACAATTATTCCACAAGCGCACATTGGATATGAAATGATAGATAGCCAATGAGGCGCGTAGCACCGAGTTGGCTATAATCATCTTGTATATCCAACGAGTGCGAGTGGAATAATTGTTTTATAAAAAAAGTTAATTTTTGTAAGAAGAAACCAGATGTTACAATGTACAGATATTAGATTATGGTATATCAGCTCATATACCATAAGGCATAAGGGCTAAGCCAATAAAAAGTGTTGAATTGCATTATCAAATGATCCAGTTTTTAATAATAGCTGTTATAAATTGAAATTGTAACCTTCAACTTCCAAGATCTGAGTGTTAATTCTCCCCTCTAACTGCTACACATTTTCCAGTTATGAAGTGTAATGAGAATTTGGTGTTAAAGATCTATATAACAACTTCTACCTGATAAGTTTAAGTATTCTCATTACCTGCTTGCTGGATAAAGTTTGGATATTGTAGGGAGAAGGTACACATTGATTGCCTCTTGGAGTTCAATTGGTTTAAAGAGGGGAAAAAAACTAAAAGCTATTTCATGTAAGGTAGAGCAAGGGTAGACAAGTTGCAATAAAGAAATGAGGAAGCAAACAAGAATAAGGTATCATGAACCCAAAAATATATAAGGCATAATTCTGTTAAGGAAATGTGCTTGTGTCTTGTGCTCCTAAATAATTTTGTTTTAAATTTGTGTTGTGTTTTTAGTTTGTCCTGCTGGATGGCGTCCTGGAGGTGATTCGGTGAGTAGAACTTGATTTTCTTTAGCTCAAACAATATCTTGGTATTGAGTGGACCATTGCTAATTGATTGCTGCAGGTGGGAGGGAAATGTTAAAATGATTAAAAGGGATAAGTTTCTATAGAAGCTGTGATGGTGCATCAGTTGGTGGTGTTACAAGATAATTTGGTTAAATTATACACTGAGTTGATCATGTGAATTCGCCATGGTTAAGAGATCCCAAAGATGATGTTTGAAGCATTAGCCCCTTGCAAGTTTCAATTTTCTCTCACAAAAGGGCTAACACTGGAAACATCAGTTTTAAAAATCTCTTCACAGTAGCAAATTCACATTTACAACATGGTGGACAGAACCAAATTATTTGGAAAGGGTTAAATGTCTACAAGCCCTTTTTTAACCATCTCTTTACCATCATTTTTCTGTTTTTGAAGTATATACTTTCCTTTTTTTCTTTTTTGTTTGTTGTTGTTAAATGAAATCTGTTGCTAACTACTCTATGACTAATGCTTTCAATCCTTTGAATTTTATTTCAGATTGTCCCAGACAAAAAAGACAGTGAAAAGTACTTTTCCAAGCAGTGATAGAGATATATATAGGATATCTTACAATAGTATTTGAAAATCTGTTTCTCTTTACGTAACTTTTATTTACAAGGAATGAATGAATTATTTAACATAGTGAGTAGGTTTTTTTTTGTTTTTTTTTGTTTATTGATTATGGTTTTGTTGTGGTTAGCTCTGAATTAAACTTTTTCATATTCTTATGTGACTGTGTTATTATTAAGTATATGTGGGCAAACACAGCTCTGTATTAAACTCTTTCATATTCTTATGTGACTGTGTTATTATTAAGTACATGTGGGCAAACACAGCCTTCATTTGTACCTGTTGATCCCTAAGAGTGACCAGTAACCAATTTCTCCTTACAATATCACCCCTGAATCAAACATTAAAATCAGGAGAATAAAGGAAATGATCACTAACTTAAGAAGCTCTTGATTGCAAAACAAATTCTCCTTGTCCGGCACCTTAGGAAATGTACAGAGAACAGTATGGAGAATATGCATACTGATGTCAGTGTGTAGAAGGTTAAATGCACATTATCAATGTCCTATAGTGAAAGTAATTTTCAGTGTCCACCTTTGAGGGGTGTCATTCGTTAGAGGTTTGACTGTACAGTCATCTCTGTGATGACTTCACATTGTGTCTGGTCATCTTCAAACTAGGCAAAAGAGTTTTTATATGGTTCCAATCTTATGATGCTGGCCTAAACAGATGGCCTATGTCAGCTGCAACTATAAGTCATCTAAGTTTCCATACAGTAGTTAACTGGTTGTATCGCTATTTACCCTGAATAGAATATTAAGCCCCCTGTATTTCGTTGGGTGACCCTAACAGTTCACCACCCACTCCTCCTGGAGAGGGGTACTTGGAGTAAAGCTTTTTGCCCAATAACACATTTAAAGACACGGACAAAACTTAGATTCCATCCTAAGGGGCACTTCTCCTTTATTAACCCCACTTGAACGACCACTAATGGATGTACGGTATCAAATGACTAAGGCAGTGATCGCTACGACCAGATTGTTGGCAAGAATGTTACGATTTAAGTACACGAATGAGAAGTCTTGCATGTAGTGATGTAATCCGGTGTCCCGGGTTTAAGTCCTACCCTGCTACTCACTGGATTTGTTCTTGGTTGCCCCCAGTTCAACTCCTCGGCTGCGTTCTGTAAATAGCCCACTGATCTGCCTCCTGCCAGTGGGGATTTTTAAGCACTTAGTTAGCTTACATTGTGGCTGAAAAGCCCCTAAGGGGGAGCTTCAATTTGCGCTTTATTTCTTATTTCTTATGATCCCGTTGTGCCCGCAAAGCGATCAGCTCTTTGAAAATTCCTTTTGTGATCTCTCTGTTAATAAACAATTTCTCCCTTCATTCATGTGAAATTGGCTTTTTGTCTGAAGGGTGTAAAATTGTACAACTCAGCGGGGTTCCTCCTGCCCATCGTGTGCTCACAAAAGGATGGTGTTACGCTGTGAATACGCGTGAACGTATACACAACCATCACCTTGATCAGCGCTATCTGTTGGTGCCTCGGCTAGAAAAGAGCGATGCGTTGCCTTGTTTACCTATCCGTCTGTATATTCTCACTCATCCTCTTAACGAGGGCTCTCTTTCCGAAGAGACTCTAATTAACACCTTGACTTTCCTTTTATGGAAGAGGAAGCATCGTGTAGGATAAATGTACTGGCCCAGTATTTGCCGTACTGCATTACGGGAATTTCACGCGGTTAAAAATTGTCCCTTGGTGAATGATAGCCAGCTTTTAAGGTGATTCCTCTGTA